GACCTCTGCTCTATGGCTTGAAATAAAGATGTAGAAATTTTGATTTTACACTCTATGATTTGTTCATGTTTATGTTCATACCTATACTTGTTATCTTGTACATGTTTGACAAACAAACAAGCAAACAAGTACCAAAAGAAATTTTATCTTCCTGCTAACTAGTGTACTGATGAGGCATTTTCTTTGGGTGGGAGTCCCCCCCCCCCCGCAAATCTCTGCTGTCCAGCAGGCTTAACTTCTTTCTTGCAGCACCCATAGATTTACTTGTTTTCAGTTTCCTCTTTATAAAACAAACTCTCCAACTAAGGAGAGGGTGGGGGCTGTCTTAATCTTCCTTCCCAAATAGCCCCCAAAACTCTGGAGCCCAGGAGGGATGAAATATCCGCTCCCTCCACGTGGGGAGCTCGCTCTTTCCAAAGGTCTCGTTCTTTTCTTTCCCAGCAATACTATGCTGACACAAACCAGGAGCGGAACGGTTAAACGGACCTTCCCAAAGACCCGCACAAGGCTAGGAAGCGAGATTTAAGCCTTTTGGTTTTCCCCAGCGCCAGGGGAGGAGAGGAAACCAATCGTCTGTGAAGAGACGCCCAGACTGCCGCCTTATTTCCCGGCCCCTTACCGTTAGGCTCAGAGACCCGAAGCAGGAGAAGGGAGCAGCTGTTGGGGAAACCTCTCCGTTTACGCGGCGACCCCGGCCGGAGGATCCGCACCTTCGCTCCGAGGAGAAGAGCTGCTTCCGAGGGAAAAGAGCCCCAAGCCCCGGCTTCTTTCGTTTCTACGTGAGAGGCCGTGCCTTTGAGCGCCTGGAAGAGAAAGTGGGCAGGCACCACTGCGCCTTCAGCAACACTCAGCCTTCCGGGAAGCGTCGGGTGTTTCACATTTACTATGTGAGAGTAGCAAAATCGCACAAACCGATTGCAAAACTAGACACACCATCGAGTTGCTAAATTAACCCACTGGTGTCAGGAAGAGAGCCTTCTCTGACATGGCCTCCCGTAGAACATTCTCCTCCCCTCCAGGAGCCAAATTTGTCCATTTTCCTGGCCTTTCAGAAATATCTTAAATCCTGGATGGACCATCTCGCGTGGGGGCTCACAGACGAGCTGCAGCCATGGGGTCTTCTTCCCCTGCCTTCCATTAATTTTTAATGTTAACTTTTAGCTACCCTTGCGTGGTTTTTTAAAATTTAATATTCGTTTAAAAAAAATATTTTACTACCCAGAGTCCCCATATGGGCAATTTCTAAATGAGAGAGAGGGAGAGACAGACCAAATCTTGCAACACCACTGGAACAAATTAAAGGCCAAGATAGCAAAATGCAAAAATAACATAGGATAAGTGTTGGAAGGGACCTTGGAGGTCTTCTAGTCCACTCCCCTGCTCGAGCAGGAGCCCTACACCATTTCAGACAAATGGTTGTCCAATCTCTTCTTAAAAGGATGGGGCATCCACAATTTCTGGAGGCAAGGCATTCCATTGGTTAATTGTTCTCCGAGTTAGGAAGTTTCTCCTTAGTTCTAGGTTGGTTCTCTTGCCTTCTGGTGCTTTCAAAAATAGGTTGACTCATCTTTGTGGTACCCCCTCTAATATTGGAACACCGCAATCATGTCTCCTCTAATCCTCCTTTTCCCTAGACTAGACATACCTAATTCCTGTTCTTCATAAATGCTAGCCTCCAGCCCCCTAATCATCTTTGTTGCTCTTCTCTGCATGCTTTCTAGAGTCTCAACAACATTTTTATATTGTGGTGACCAAAACTGGACGCAATACGCCAACTGTGGTTTTACTCAGTCATATTTCACATGACCTTGATTCTCTCCCCCTATTAATGCTTCCTAGAATTGCACTGGCCTTTTTTGCAGCCACCACACACAATTGGCTCATATTTAAGTGATTGTCTACTAAGACTTCAAGATCCCTGACAGTTACTGGTATTGAATCAAGCTTCACTTAGTCTGTACCTATACAGTTGTTTTTTCTTGCCTAAGAGTAAAATCTTATTTTTCTCTACATTGAATTTCATTTTGCTAGATAGTGTCTATTTTTCAAGTCTGTCAAGATACATCTGAATCTTGAGCCTATCTTCTTGGCGGGTTGGTGCTTCCTACCAGTTTGTCACCTGCAAATTTGACGAGTTCTTCTATTCCTTCATCTAAATCATTTATGAAGATATTGAAGAGTACTGGGCCTAAGACAAAACCTTGCAGTACCCACTGTTTACTTCCCTCCATGTGGATGTAGACTTCAGTCAGTTACAAATCCATCTTGTGGTGGTGCTGCCTTTTCCACATTTTTCTAGCTTATTAAGTTGTGGTCTACTTTGTCAAATGCCTTACTGAAATCTAAATACATTATGTCCACAGCATTTAGCTGATCCACTAATTTAGTCACTTTGTCAAAGAATGTAGTAAGGTTTATTTGGCATGATCTGTTTTTGATGAAACTGTGTTGACTTCTGGTTCTAACTTTGTTTGCTTGCATTTGCAGATTTGTTGCTTGATTCTTTTCCAGGATTTTCCCAGGCATAGATGTTAGGCTGATTGATCTGTAGTTTCCTGGGTCCATTTTCTCTCTCTCTTTCTCTTTTTGAAGATGGGAACCACACCAGCTCTTTTCCAATCCTCAGGTAAGGGGTATTGGATCAGGGATAAAATACTTGTTTCAAATTGCTGATAGCTTCTTATGGACTTTTTGCTGAATCAGGACTGAAAAGATGGATTACATATAGATATGAGTTAGGTTATGGGTAGAAGAGTTTTTTTGTTATGTAATTTTAAGAGAGAGTGAAGAATTATGTTAGCTTATACTTGGTGTGATGAAGGTTGGAAGCTACTTTATTTCACTATTTTCCTTTTTTCTTTCTCTTGTGCTTTTTAAACTTTTTACTTTAGGTTTCAGTTTACCTTGTATTTGTTTTTACTATTAAAATCTCAATAAAATTACTATTAAAAACTTAAATCAACACATCTGGAGCATGCTAACTTTCAGAGAATTCTGGTCTACTATCAGCTTCATATACGCTTTGACTAAATTTTATATGCTTATTATATCACTAGTGTTTATATCTATTCCCTCTTTTGAAGTTAAAGCAAAAAGAGCATCATATTTTCAGGAAACCATATTTAGTTAGTTTATAGTTGAAGTATTGATGCATTACAAGTATGATTCCTATAATTCTATTTGCTCACTCTCCACTCTGTGTTCATTACACTCATTCATAAAAATAATTGTACACATTATTGTAATAATTAAGATTATTATCTACATAAGCTTAATGAAAAATTGGCTTCAGCATTCCAAAGGTTTTTCTAATGGTTAAAAGCCAAGAATAAGAATTGTAGTTAAAACTAAAATAGATGAATTCATGAGAGTTTAGTTTTCTCTTACATATAATCAAAAGATACAAATAATTTTTTTTTACCAAATGGAAACAAAACCATAGACAAGATTTTTTAAATGTTTTTTTAGTATAAAAATATAAAACAGCTACATTCTAAATGTTCAAATTTCCTCATTTCACCTCCTAAACATAAATCTATTTTGTTGCTAGCAGCTGACCCAGTGATATAGGATCTTGCTCTCTTGGGAATGTATTTTCTACGTAGTATTATTTTTTTTAAAGTACTCAATAAATTAATAATCTGTTTGTTTCTCCAAAAGTAGTTACAGGAAATATGGACTCAAAGAAAATAAAGGTAAAATATGGCTAATGGAAAAAATTGAGTTTTCTTATTCTACCATACATTTTATGCTATTGATTCAGTAATAATTGTTCAGTAATAATCAAGTAGGGGACTTCCATATGCTTTGCCATAAACATCCTATACAGGTAAGACTGCAACTTGCAACTGGTTGCTTATGATAGTCTGAGTGTGCTTTGTGGCCTGTAAGGCACTTTCATCTCTTGTAAAAAAAACCCTCCCCCTGGTCACATAATCATAATCTGGGTGCTTGGCAACCTGTTTTCACTTATGACCAGTTGCCAGCTGCTGTTTTCATGTGATCATCATCTTCTCTGCTGGCTTCCCCAGGAAATCAATGGAGAAATTGACAGGGAAGGTTGAAAAGCCTGGGGACTCCTTCTCATCTCTGGGGCTGGTCAAATGAGCTGCCTGTGAAGGGATGGCTGAATTCTTTTGGTGGGATGGAGAAATGGATAAGCTTAGTTTCTGCATCCCCACACAAGTTCCCTTCTGTGTGTGGATAAGGGAGGACATCCTCTTAAGGAGTGGGGAATTGGAGCTGAGAACCTGATTTGCGCTGTTTCTGCACCCCGTGGAAGGAGTTCCCAGAGGAGAGATGACTTTCTTCCATGGGGATGCAGAAACGGAGTTCAGATCCCAATAATTTGAGCTTCATTTCTGCAGCACGCAGGAGTTCCCTTCCATGCACAGAAGGGAGCTTATCTCGTTTGACAGGGTGGAGAAATGGAACTCAGACCCTGAAGACCTGAGCACTGATTCTGCAGCCCACCAAATGCATTCCTCTCCGTGCACGGAGAGATGATATCCTTTGGCAAGCAGTGCTTTCAGCCAGCACCTGGAGACGAGGGAGCAGAGGGGCAAAGTGATAAAAAGTATGGGTGCTTCAAACAAGTCAGAGAGGTCCTGCATGGGCTGTGTGTTAGTGTCTCTCCCTCAAGGGCTGAAAATCATGTATGGATTTTAGAAGGGGCAGGTTTTAGCTCCTGAGTGGAACCTCCCAGGTTCTTCCCCCAACACCAAGGCACCCTGCACTCCTTACCTGGGACTCTGTCCACTTAATGACCACAACCACAAGTGTCAAGATTGCAATTGTTGAGTGAGGCAATCATGTGATATCTCACTTAAAAATGATCAAGATTCCAGGCTCAATTGTAGTTGATAAGTTGAAGACTGCCTATATCTCCTTGTAGGGAGACATATGGAAATTACAGGCAGTTGAGGTTCATTGTGAGATGGACTTTTAAAATTATTTATTTCCCATCTTTTATTATTTTTACATATTATTCAAGGCAGCAAATGCAGATGACAAAGCATTAGACAATTTTCTATCTTAATAGCAAATTAGAGGTTATGTCATGACTTGATCAGTGGAGATATTAATCCAATGTGTTATCTTAGCTGAGGTTGCAACATTTTTGAAGTTTGATGAACAAATGCCAGTTGTTTTATTGGTACATCTAGAAGTCTGAAGGTGAAGAGAAGTAGAGGAATTAAAACCATTCTTACACAGGCTATATACTATCAAAAACCCATTGGAATATGCTTCTGACATAATTAAGAGATCTGTTTCTTTCTTAGCTGGCAGAGCTTTTGGGACTTTGGCATACAAGTAAAGTGTAAAGTAAGAATGAAAGGAATTGCTGAAAATACCCTATCACAGTAATCAAGTTATTAAATAGGTTACAGCACACAAAATTGTGTACACAAGAATTGACTTAAGATAAATATGTCCTACGACTAAGAAAGTGAAAGCTGTTAGGACTCCTGCAAAAATTGGTACTGAATGGTAAGCTTTAATATACATCAAAATGATGACTAAATATAGACTAATACATCATCTTAAAATAATATACATATAGTTAATTAAATACAATTAGTACATTTCAGCTATTGTCTTTTAGTACCAGTTCTTGGTCCTAACCTTTCCTCAATTTTCAGCGTGCCTTTCCAAGCCAACTGGTCTTCTTGCTTATGAGGGTCCACAGGAATTTGGGTGGAAGGGGGAAAGCTGTATTGTACGATACGATTATAATTCATATGTGTGTGCTGCTATTACATACCAGTCAATCTTTTGTTATTCTACTGGATATTTTTATTACTACCATCTTTTCACACAATAGCCAATAGGTTGCTAAAAAAATTCCATCTTTACAAATACAACTATAGGAAGCTAGCTGCCTTTTACTATATTAGTACGTTAGTCCATGTGAGTCAGTACTTCATACATTTGACTCAGTATTATGTATAGTATACTGGAAATTCTCAGCAGCAGATCTTAGACCTGACCTTGAAGAACTAGTGTATCTGGTTTACCAATTCCTTTTTGGTTGGTAAAGTTGAGATCCAAAAAAATAACTATGCAACTATCTCAAATCACTAAAAATTGAAATCCAAGGAAGCTGTTCAAAACCCAAAGCAGTGATGGAAATCTGCCTTAGACTGGAATGAGATGCTTCCATTAATACTTAATGCAGATAGTACACAGTTGCCTTGATCCAAAAAGGCTGTACCTATCAATTTTTTTAAAAAAAGTAGATTATTTGTGTGCTGCCCATTTTGTCAGGTTCTAGATTAATACATATAAAAACTACAAGATTTTTTTCTGGCACTTCAGACTCCCACACTGACAGGTAGTCTCCGCCTCAGGCACACTTCCAGCTTTATAACCATAATCCCAGGTAAGTTCAGTTCCAGCTTTTACATGTCTGAAAAGCAAATATGCCACACAATTAGAATAATAGCAATAATCCATGAGGATTTATGCTTACTTTTATGAGTGTTTTCTGAGAAATAAGAGATTGGGCTTCAGACTGCCAATAAGGCAGCAATAATGTCTGCTCTTCACAACACTTGCAGCTATCTTGGTGAGAAGAACTGTACACAGTACTCCAAATGCTATCTCACTAGTAAAGCAGTACTATCACTTCCCATGATCCTGATGCTATCTCTCTTCTTGATGCAACTTAGGACTACATGGTCCTTTTTGGCAGCTGCAGCACAGTGTTGGCTCATACTCAAGTGGTGTTCCACTAGGACACCCATTCTCTCTAAGTGCAGGATCTTACCTTCACTGAACTGCATTTTGTTTGCTATGGCCCAATGTTCAAATCTGTCAAGACCCCTCTATCCTCCAAAGTGTTAGCAATTACCCCTGGCCAGTCATAGTAACATTACTAAATTTTAAAATTTAATTTAAAGATGACTAAATCTGAATATCTAGCAGATAGTGCTTAATGAAACCACGGTTTACTTTACTAAAGTTTGCTCTGTCCCTGGAGATTATGCAGGAGAACATTAGCAAGAATGAAAAGCCAGGAAAATTATCTCTTCTGCAACTGTTACTGATTCTTAATAATGGTTTACAAACCCACTTTAAAACATGCTTTTCATCTCTGGTTTATAATTAATATTAACATTTAATAATATCTAAAAAGCTCAGAGCATTTACCCAAGATAAAAGCAGAAGTGTTTATATTACAAAGATAAGCATTCTAAGATCAAGTAGCTATTCATCAATACACATATATACAGCCGCACACTCAAATTCCAAAATAACTTTCTTCATCAGTTCCTTGAAATATCAAGTTTTGTTTATAGTGCAGGCATAAAATCACTTATGCTATAAAAATAAGCCACAATCATACAGCTGTATTTGCCTTTATATAAATGGGATAAAACTCTTGGTATTACGTTTTTCTCTTTAATATGGCTCAACCATATCACCATTCCATTTTCTGCCTTCTGTATTGTTTAGTATAGATTTCTACTAAGAAGATAACCACAGAACAAGTAGTCAGTTTTATAAAAAAAAATTCTTAGTAGAAATCTGTTTTTGCTTACAGAATTATGCTTAGGATTTGTTAATGAAGAAAAGTATGCCGAACCTCTTTGTGAAGAATGCCACCCAGGGGAAGTTTCTATTGTGAGTCTCTACAAATACACTTTGTACAAAGAGATTAGGAGAGCAGCTGTGCTATAAAGAAAACAAACAACAGTTAAAGTAGAAGTAGAAGCACCTGTTTGCTTTTATATATTTTTGTGCACATTTGGAATGTTTCTTCTGGCAGACATACTCTACTTATGGAGTCAGGTATGAATGTCTGGGCAAAACATTCTTTTCTGTAACATCATCATTAATGCAAAAATAACAAAAGAGGAAAATGGTTTTATAAAGGGACAAAATCTATTTAGTATCATATGTTATAAAACCATAGAGCTGTTTTTTGATATATTTTACATTCTATTTTTATTTATTTTGTTAACACCTCTTGCTTTGCTTAAAAGTTGTTGTTAGCTCTAGACACTCTTGTAGGGCCCTTTCAAGCTTTGTGTTTCAAGAAACTACAGTAACACTCTTTTTTAAGGTTTCTGATCATTAGCATCCTTATCAACTGCTCAGCCTTAATAGGATCAGGGATCAAACTGTTAAGAACACCAGTTACAGACCTGATACTCTGCCCTATCAAAAGCAGACAAGCCCTGCCTTTCACAGTGAATGGTTACACTTAAGATTCTTCTCTGAATTTTTTATACTTATATTTTTCTCTTATCACCACAGAGTAATCTTTAGTAGTCTCTATTTGATGAATATCCATGTCCTTTTTCTTTTTAATTGTTAAATTATACAAGAACTTTATAATTTTGTAGCTCTATGCTGCTGATTTACTGGGTTAACAGATTAGTGACTCTTCCATTATCCATACTTCTTGGATGACTTTTCTACCACTGAGTTCAACCAGACCAATAAAAGCAAAAGCAAAATTGTAGGAGAAGCCAATGAGTAGAACAAACTTCAAAGGCCAAAGGCTTCTATTCCAACAGTAACTAACACGATGAAGAATAAAAGGAGGGGAAGAGACCATAAACCTCATTTTAGGACTTCTTCACACCAAGTCCCTTCCTCCATTTCAAATCCTAGCCTTTTTCTTGGCTCCACTCTTCAGCCCTATTTCCTTACAGTGGACATAGTGGCTTAGCAAAATATCATTAATTACACACTGAACATATTTATTTACCCCCTCATTTATTATCAACCACTTCTACATTTGGTTATACTTATCACTGGCATCTCAATTTAAGGCTAAAAAGATTTTCCAGTATTTGCATGTGAATTATGAGGATGGAAAATGAGAACCCACATTATTGGGGGCAATATGCTTACTCTGTAAACCACTTATAGAGGGCTGTAAAACACTGTGAAGCACTGGTAAGTCTACTGTTACTGCTATTTCAACACATAGCTAGCAAAACTGTAATGTTTTTCAAAATTAGCATAATATTAATTACGAAACAGGTAACTCTTTAACTTGATCCATTTCAATTGGGATTCAGCCCCGAGTACGAGACTGTGATGAATGCACTTATGTATAATCTCTTATGGAATTGGAATGGGGGTAGTACACCCATCCTTGCTGTTCTTGACCTCAGTGGATTTTGATACCATCAATCATAGACTCCTTTCTGGATTCCCTCTGGGAGATGGGAGTAGCAGTCTTGTGTTAAGGAAAAACTTGTTTTTTTCCTTCCAGGGCCAGTTCTAATCAGTTAGGGGTGGGTGGGTAAGGGAGGGTCCAGACCACAACCTCTACTTTTTGAATAGGTCTGAGTTCTCTCTCCCCTCTTGTTTAACATATACATGTAGCCACTGAGTGAGGTCATCTGATGTTTAGAGTGAGGTATCATCAGTATGTGAGAGCTAGACTGGTGTGATGGTTAAGGAACTGAGGAACTATTTTTCTGGTCTTGTCTTAGAAAAAGGGGTCACCCAAATGTATCTTAGGAAAGAAGTTGTGGTTCAACCCAAACAAGACTTAGGGGCTTTAAGGTTTTGAACCTAAGGATTTTCCATTTTTTATTCTGGATGAGGTGGCACTGCCTCAAACAGATAGGATGAGCAATTTGCTCACCTTCAGGTTGTGCATCTGTTGTGCCTGTTCCTGGACTGGGAGGCCTTGCTCAGTGTTATTCATTCCACAATAACCATCTGTCTGGACTACCACAATACTCACTACATCGGGCTGCCCCTGAAAAGCATTTGGAAGCTTCAACAGGTGCAGAATGCAGCTTCATGTAAACTGTGCTGACTACTTAGTGCACGTGAGCTGTATTAGTTGCCAATGTGCTTTCAGATACAATTCAAAGAGCTGGTTGTCACCTTTAAAAGCCTTCATGGCTTGGGACTGGGTTACTTAAGGGACCGTTTTCCCCAGTTGCTTCTACCTGACTGGCCAAGCAGGATGAGCATATTCCCGTCTGCCAGCTAAGAAATGTTGGTTGTCAGGGCCCAGAAGGTGAGCCTTCTCTGCTACAGGGCCTACAGATCAGGGTGTCCCCATTCTTACTGGCCCTTTCATAAAGTTCTGAAATCCCAGGACCCTGAGTCTATGAAGGGACATCTCCCAGTTCTGTTAGTGATAGCTGCATTTTTCTTGGCTACTGTGCATTTACATTTTTATAGTTGCGATTGTACATTTTTTAACTTTCATTTTAAATATTGCTTGCTGTCCAAAGCTGGCTCAGATATGTGTCTATGTAAACTGGAACTAGAGAAGTAAAAAAAATAAAACTTACATTAAGAAATCTGCCTACATTGCCTTCCCTTGTAGCATCCACCAAACAAGTATTTTCTTCATTCTTTGGGCATGTCTCAGTTTCTGCTGCCTCCTTCATACAAGCAAGTTCCTGTCTGGTTCTCTGAGTTTTTCCCTTATGTTGTTTTTTCACTTCTTTGTCATCTTGCATAGGCAGTTTACTTTTCAAAACAGCATCGGAAAGGAGATTCTCTTTATGGCAGTCAGTGTTAGCTTCAGAATTTCTAGTGTTTACCAATTTTTCACATTTTCCTTGCAGGCTTGATTCTGTAAAGAAGCATATCAAGATTAGTATTTGATTTAGGAACATCTCACAGTTACACCTTCCAGTATGTAATATAGATGCTCTGATTTAAATTTGCTAGACCAATTGATCAAAATATTATTTTTGTATCTGAAGCTCTATCAGATTCAGAGCACGATCATGGCCATACCTAAGTTTTCAGTATTTGGATCAAAGGGCAAAGCCACTGTGAATACTGTGCTTTATCTGTTGGCAGCTGCTTATAAGGAGATGCATCTTTTCCATAGATAATGACAGGGTAATGTCATTGTGCTGTCTCTGCTTCCTGAATTCACATATACAAATTAAGGAAAAGGTACAACTCCTTCAAGGAGCTGCCAACAAATATAGAAAAAATGCCCATGTGGGATATGAAGTAAAATTGTATATCTTTGATAATGGCTTATGCTCAGAAAAAAAACCTGCATCATAATTCTCATGCCATGCATCACATAGCAGATCCCTCATATGCCTACTAAATACATAAGACCCCATAGCAAGAAGTTAGCTTTGTGTTCTAGGCAGCTATAAATTCTGAACTATTCCAAACAAGGAGATCATCACTGCTCAAAGCTCTTCAACTCAGAGTATCAGGGAGGTAATATTTGAGGTTATCTGTCTACCGAAGGTAAGAAACCATGGCAAAGGCTGAATATTATATTAATAGAATATTATAGTCTTTTTCTGTGCTGAATTTTTCATACTTTTACATTTCAGCATTATTTTTATGCAATTTGATTTTATTAACTATAGTGCTTTTAACTTCTTAATAGTGGTTTTGAGATATGCAATTTTATTTTCAAATTTGTTGAAAATGAAAAAAAAAATGGTGCAACTTTACGTTCATCTCCTTTTTTTGTTGCTGGAGTTATTCTTGTTGTTCCTGACACCTGACACAAAGAAATCTCATCTTCATCAGAGCTGGCATCAGTAATTCCCTTTGAAGAAAGAAATCTAGTAAGAGTAGACAAACTAGGAATTTTAATCCTGGATTTCTTTTGTTGGCTTCTCAAGGCTTTGATCTTTTTCTAGAAGCCACTTGGGTCTTGGATAGAACAAACACATTTTCTGGTTTTCATACAGCACCATAGGACACGTTGGGCAAGGGTGAGGTAAGATAAATAAAAATTAACTCGAAGAGACTCTCTGATCTCCAATCAAACCCAAATATTCTACTTAGGCAGGTTCAATCTGTGAAACAGAGTACTCCAGTACATCCTTCTTGGAAGGACAAATTGTAAAGTAGATTCAGCAAACAGTGGTCTCCTAAAATAATCTCCTTCCTCAGGCTTTCTTACTTCTCCTAACTTCAAAGGTGCATGAAATGTTTCAAACTCAGAACTGCTCAAATGCAAAACAGCCTTTTCAAATTTGAACTGCACTAGTACAATTTCATTTGCCATTTCAATGAAATGTTGGAGCACATTCATTAAGGTCAAAGCAGTTCGATTTAATCTCAAGACAGTTATTTCCAAGCTCAGAATAATTGACACTTACTACACAATACAGGTAGCTCTCGACTTATAACCATTAGTTCAGTGACCTATCCAAGTTACAATAGCACTGGGAAAAGTCACAACTGTTTCTTACATTCATGACTGTTGCAGCAACCGCATGGTTGGGTACTTGGCAACCACGCATGTGTATATTATGGTTGCAACCTCCTGGGTTCGCATGATTTGCCATTTGCGACCTTCCTGGCTGGCTTTTGACAAATAAAATCAATGGGGAGAGCTGAATTCACTTAACCATGAGATTCACTTCAAAACCACAGTGATTTGCTTAACAACTGTGGCAGAAAAGGTCATGACTGATTTAACAACTGTCTTGATTAGCAACAGACAATTCTAGTCCCAATTATGGTAATAAATTAAGGATTATCTGTAATCTCTTTAAGGATTATCTGTAATCTCTTTAAGGATTATCTGTAATCTCATATTCATATACATTTACATTACACACACACACACACACACACACACACACACACACACACACACTCATTCATCCATCCTTTTGGAGGAAAGAGAAGGAAGGAACAGTGCAGGATAGTTCATCAACCCCAGTAACTTTAAGATACATGGACTTCAACTCCCAAAATTCCCCAGCCAACATGCTGAAGTCTGGATATCTTAAAGTTGTTGAGGTTGAAAAATATTATGGTACTGTATTATTTACTCACTGAGCAAAGTAAGACCTTCCCTAATTACTGGACTACCAAATGTAGAAACAGAACAGATTTGAAATAGCTGAAGTATAGATTAAAATAAAGTGAAAAGCCAAAAAACAAATGCAGAATATTTACTAGTTCTCGCCGGCGTTTTTGAAGAAGGGATGTTTTAGTTTTAGGTCTTGCAATAGCTTGTACATTCTTGTATGAAGTGTAGTTCTGAACCCTGCTAATAGAAACATGGTTTTATATAGCATACGTTAAAGTAGAACTTGATGGATTTTTAAATGCTTGTATTGTTAGAGGTATACATTACATGTTTACGGTGTTAATGTGTCACTTCTAGATGGACCATAAAAGTGGCTCTATCCAGATTCAAACAGTGAAGGGATGCTAACTATTTAAACATGTAATTGTTGTTAACTTACGGATTTGGTTGATCTTCAGCATTCAGATGTAAAGATTGTTGTCTTCCAGTGTTCTGGGTAAGTTCATTCTCTGAATCAGAACAGACCACACCCAGTTTTCTCTTTCTTGAAAACAAACTCTGGTTGGTTTTCTTGGTAACTTCTTCTTCAATTTCACCACTATCTTCACCCTGGTAATGTTCATCTCTGGACATCAATTTCCCTAGAATAAAACACTGTATTTATGAAATGTATATCCCAAGTATGGCAGTAAAAAAAGATAAAACATTTAAGGAAGGCAAAAAGTATATCTCAGATATGCCTAAAGCGTATCTCCTCTTGCCCTACCTGCATATGTACAAACAAATGTTCCCTTGTCAATGTCATCAAGGCAACGAACTCCCCAGCCTTTCTTTTCAGTGCTGAAGACTTGTAAGCGAACTTGAAGGCCGTGCTGTACCAATCTGTTCTGGCACATGTTCTTGTCACAGCTGCAGAGCAAGCTGCATTCATAAACTCTGATACACAAAGCAAAGAATAAGATAAAGGAGGATTATGGGGGGAAAGCATCAAAGTGCATATGAGCACAGACAGAAAACACACACATTCACTCCTTTGGGTCTTCCAGTAAGGATGCCCCTTGCTTGGACAGAGAAAGATGAACAAAAATAGGCAGTGAGCATATAAACTCAAGGCAAGACAACTCAGTAACTACACTATCGTAAAACAGCAGGGTTCTTAAGAAATTAACAAGTGTATGAACAGTACAAGATTTGGCCCAATTGACTAGGCAGATGGAAATCAACGAATGGTCTAGCAACATATCAGAATTCTTGAAAGTGTACAATGATGGATAATGTTCTTAAAATGTATACTTTATATATTTCCTAACAATTGGCATTCCTGGATGAATGGGTTTATTTATTGTGTCTTTTGAGTGAACAACTATTGCAATTCCTTAGCAGAGAATGCATTTATTGATGCTTAGATTCAATAGAGACACAATGGGCGAATAGGCGGCAAGATAAATTTAATAAATAAATAGTGCAGGTAGTTCTTGATTTATGACCACATTAAGGGGTTTCTGTTTGTTGGGTGCTCCATCGCTGGAGGTTTTCAAGAAAAGACCAGACAACCATTTGTCCAGGATGCAATGAAGATTCCCGCAATGAATCCTGCAGAGGGTTGTACTAGAACAGGGGTCCCCAACCTTGGCAACTTTAAGACTTGTGGTCTTTCTTTGCTGGCTGAGGAATTCTGGAAGTTGAAGTCCACAACTCTTAAAGTTGCCAAGGTTGGAGACCCCTGTACTAGAAGACCACCAAGGTCCCCCTCAAGTCCTATGATTCTGTAAGTCGATGCAGTCATAAAGCAAGTCATGACATGACTAGACCTAATTTTACAACTATTTTTACCACAGATATTAAAGGAATCATTACGGTCATTTGGCAAATCTGGCTTCCCCAAATGGCTTTGCTTGTTGGAAGCAGCTTGGAAAAGTAGAAAATTACTATTACATGACTACACTATTACTTGTAAATGCAAGCTAGGTGCCAAGCAACTGGATTATGATCACATGACTGTGGGGATGGTGTGACAGCTGTAACTTTTGAGAGTAGATCATAAAGCACTTTTCCCAAGGCTGTTGTAACTTCAAACCATTGTTAAATGAACGGTAAGTCAAGGATATCAGGCATGCTCAAAACAAACACTGACCAAAACATCTTTACTTTTATTTTAGAACGCTCCTCATGTAAGTAATAAAGGACAGGTTTGCATATGCCAATAAGTCAATCTGGGACAATTAAAATGCTCTAAAAGCCACCTATAGCTTTCAGGTCTAAGCCTGGGTTGCAAACTCATTAAGCTATAACCATCTGAGAGAACCAAGACATCCAAGCTCAAACCTAGATTCATGAAGCAGTTCTTCAACACAATTTGCATTTCCTCCCCCTTGAGTTCCTTGGGGAAATCAGAAATGAGAAACAAACTTTCCAATAATTATCAACTATTATTTAAAAGGGAGAGTCAGTCTGGTATAATGATGAAGCACCAAGCTAGAAGCCAGGAGACTATGAATTCCAGTTCCACCTTAGATATGAAGCTAGCTGGGTGATGTTGGTCAGTCCCCACTCTCTCAGCCCTAGCAGGAAGCAGAGAAACCACAAACCACTTCTTCAACACTGACTCAAAGGCACCAGAACAGTAGTAGTAGTGCTGATAGTAATAGTAATAATATCTGCAGCTGTATGGAAAAACTCCACCTGAAATTTGCTCCTCAATACTGCCTATATAAACACAGTACAGTCAAGTGGAGCACAATTTGAACATCATCAGCATTGACAAACTCACTATTAGTCAATTGTAAATTGCAGTTCCAATTTACTTGGAATAGTTTATAGCAAGGGTCTTCAAACTTGGCAAGTTTAAAACTTGTGGACCAACTCCCAGAATTCCTGAGCTAATGTGACTGGAGGAGGAATTCTGGGAGTTGAAGTCTTAAAGCTGTCAAGTTTGAAGACCCCTGGTTTATAGCCTTATACTTTTAACATCATTAAACAGTAACAGGCACCTATCTTGGGTCCTTGGGAAGGCCTCATGGGTGGATAAAAATGCCAAACCTAGTCTAAGTATCTGGCTGACTATGCGACCAACCATATAATAATATAAAACAGCAATGCAACAGAGTTTATATGAGTGAAACAAATGAGTGAATTAGATACAACGTAGCAAGTATCACAAACTTAACCATAGTATTCCTTACCCACTGGAAATAGGTTCCTCCAGCCTTTTATAAGTATAACCGTGAGATGGTCCATTTTTTGGAGACATAGTTTTCAATAAGGCTCTTTTAGTAAGAAGCAGGCACCTGCATTTTGTCCTAGAAAGCACACAGTAGATCTAGTGGAAATAAGGATATGAAATAAAGCAACATAGCCTATTTATTCCCTGGATTCTGATGCGATAACATTTTCAGAGAAAGCAAGTATACAGTATTACTTAAGTGCTTTCCTTGATATATTTCATTTGGAATTTTGATGGACTTCTCCATCGATGGCATTTATGTAATTTTGTAGAAGAGCGGTAGGGTGGCCTAGAGGTGGAGCTCTTGCCTCACAATCAAGAGGCTGAGAGTTCATTCCTTGGTAGAGGCAGTTATCTCTCCGGACACAGTGAGAATGTATCTGCTGAATATAACTCCATATTGGCAACAGGAAGGGCGTCCGGCTGGTAAAACATTCAGCTCCGTTCAGTTGCCTAGACCCCACCCCACAAGGGATTATGGTGTCATTAAAAGAGGATGATGTAATTTCACAGAATCATTGTAATCCTCTACCATTTCACATGCAAGTGAAGAGCAATAACACAGGATAGTTCACATATTCCAGGGAAGATATTTCCTTAAATTTAAAAATTAAGGCTTTCAACAAATAATTCCTTTACGATGCAAGCTGACCTTTCCCCTTTAAATAGGGCCTTTCAAGGGTCTGCATATTTTGTAAACAAAAATAACCAAGTCCCTGTATTTGATCTCAAATCTTGTAGGAATTATTTAAAGAAACATACTTTGGCAAATCACCCCATTATCTCATCACTACACACATACTTAAACACTTTATTCAAAATGCTGTTTAAAAATGGACAATTATTCACCTGTCAATGCAGCCATCGGTACAGCTGCAGGAGTCAAGAAAACTGCTGGAAAAGTTGTTCAAGAAGTATCCATGGGGCCAAGGAGTTTTCTGGTATTTAAAGCAAGGCAGCCAATCGTGGTTGATATCATTACAGAAGGACACTGGTACAATCTCTGCCCCTTGGCTGATATCTGGATCAGTGATAAATGCCTGGGGAATAGACCTGCTTCTGAATAACTGCACATAGGTATTGAAGGAAAAGTGATCTAAAAATAAAAAGCTGCATTCTGTTTGAAATAAGTAATTCTGCACATCTTTGAAATTCCTCAGGCTCTTTCCACATGGAGCTTTGTATATCACATCGTACGATTTTGAGCCAGAATCTGCTCTGGCATGCCATCTCTGGAAGTGACACAGCAATGGCAACTTCAAAGGATTTTCCCCTTTGTAGGAATCCCATGGTCTTTTGGAAAGACATTTCTTAGAACAGACATGATCCTGGTAGAACTTGGAAGATGTCTCTGCAGATTCTCCTTCAATTCTTAAATCCATTCCCTCATTATCTTCCAGTCTGCCATTTATAGCCGTACATGTAAAAATTAAAAAATAAGTGTCAAGTAATCAGTGAGATGTTAGGATTTGCTCAAACACAATATTGTTCAGTGAACCTGATAATTCAATCTCTTTATTCAAAAAAAAAAAAAAAATCCTACCATCACAGCAAAGGGGGATGTGTGTGACAACTGCCTAGACTGGTATATAATCTCAACATTAAACGATTCTGTTGGGAATCAACAGGAAAAAAAAGTTCTTCTATTAATTGAACCCTTTAAGACAGGGGTGTCAAACTCACATAATGGCGGCATCATGTGATGTATCAGGACTTTTTCTCCCTTCGCTAAACTGGGCATAAGTGTGGCCAGCATGTGATGCATCCGGCCCATGGGCCAGAAGTTTGACAACTCTGCCTTAAAGAGATTCTATGCTGGATTCAGCTTAGGTGGACTAAAATCTAGACAGAGGTGCTGGATATTTATTATTCGGATAGCTTTCACCATCAGTTACTTGTATTAAGCAAGCAGCACAATGATCTTAATCCATAATATTTATAAATTGAACTTCTACAATTTTTTGTTAATCTATATAGTAACAGCCTTTCATATTAAGTTCCACTAAGTTCTAAATAAACACCACAATGTGCTAAAAAGAACCCCTCACCTGAATTCCATCAGTGAACTACATTTCCTAAGAAGGATACAAATATGTTTATAGGGATTCTCATCACATTATCGATAGTAAATTTTAAGGACATATAAAATTGCAGTATTACTGGTATTAATAGTATTGGCAAATTAATGAGGAAAAGCTAACCTGGGTTGAACAACTACCTGCCCAAATAGGAGAATAGCCTATTTACTCATAGATCTAAGAACTATGCCCCTACATAGGGCATTTGCTGATGTAAGAACAGATTTTGCCTAAAAACAACTGATTAAAACTCATCCAAATAATGGGAGAGAGAACTACTGTGAAACAACTTATTCTGGAAGTTAAGCTTGTGCAATCCCTTATTATTCAATCCTGGACTGCAGGAAATGCTGTGTTCAAATGCTCAATAGGAGACCAGGAATTCTGCCTACCTCCCCATTTTAATTTTGGGCTCTTTTTCCTGGGTTGGGGAAGGAGGATGTGCCTCACATAGACTACTGTGCACCATCAGTGACACCCATACATAGCCATTGGCTGAAAAACAACACCAGAGATATCTCAAAGGTGCTGTTTTAAAAGACAAGTGGACTGTTTTTTCCTTGAGGGAAAAGAAGATTTTTCGCTTCTCATCCAAGAAACTTCATGAGTTCTGGCAGGATGACTGAGAATCTCCACAGACAATGACATAGAGAACTGATAACAACTATGTTGACATATGCTGATTGGGCAACATAGACTTGCTCATAAAGATTCAAGGCAAATTCCTTTACCAATGATCATAAAGTGTCAGCAATGTTTAGCTCTGCAGCCTTAGTATCCAAAAGAAATATGTACTTGCCATTCAAAAGGCATTTTAAATTCTAGGGGAGAAAAGACAGGGCAGAAGAACAGGCAGTAAAGTGAATTAGAGAAGTGGAGGAGAGGAAGGCAGAAACTGAAAACAATCTTAAAGAGAGAAGATAAACTAAGATCCAAAATAGCCAAAAAGTGAAATAATAAGAAAGGCTGAAATTCATATTCAGAGCAGTCATTTTGTCTGATAAGATCTAATCTGTTTGGTGTACCTTACTTTCCAAATGAAATTTCAACTTCTAAGATATAAAAGCAGCAAAAAGACAATTTATATATTTATAGAGTTTTGCTTACAGAGAACAATCATCGCCAGCATCTTCTGTAATTTTCCCTGGAGTAGACAGATGTAAATCCAGATTGCATATATGCTTATTTTCTTCAATAGGAAAAAGTACATAAAAACTTTAAGCATACATTTAAAATTACAATTCAGATTTATCACAATTAACCAAGTAAGAAACTATTAATCACATCATTAAAATTAATATTAATGCAAATACAGAAACATTAAACAGGCAAAAAGTATTTTAAATGTTAATTTATTATTGTAATATAACCTCTGCCCATCCATACTTTGCAAGATTCTTTTGTATTCGATATGCTGACAGCATTAATGTTTAAAATGAACTATACATGAACTATACATGCTTCCATGCCACAAAATATAGAGGAATTCACTTTTTCTTTCTCATCTCAGAGTTCATGAAATATACAGCCCACCTCCAGTGCACATAAATTAACCTGTCGCTATCAGGCTTACAAAAAGCTGGAGGATGCATGCAGAATGAAACTGTTATTGTAAAAACTTGGGGATTAGAAAGCAAACCTCAATGTCCCCACTCCAACTCCATAAAAACATTTGCACAGGATGGAGTCTGGTGGTTTTACCTATCTGAAGGGCAGAGTTTGCGCTGAATTTCTTTTCAGTACTTTTAGACGTCAAGCTTAGGGACAAAATAGATGCAACACATTCCTCTTATATTTGATGCACCAGTAGGAGCACTCTTTGTCCTGTTTAAGTGATGAACAATGAATGAAGACAGCTTTTAGTAAAACAACAATAACTGTTAAAAGAGGTAAACCAGCAAGAATTTGACTCCATAATATTCTGCTAACAGAGGTCTGTCTATTAGTAAATCCACAGACGTGTATCATTGGAAAAGCAACTGCTTCACATGTAAAAGTCATCTCCACTAAAAAGGTCAGGCAGTATGCTAGGTAAATTCTTCTATCCAAAATCCGGAAGAGCTTGATTACAATGAACTAGACAACATATAATTCTGACCCAATGCAGGGGAACAATATCCCTTACTACTAGAGATGGTGAATATAAATTGACTGGCTTCAGCTTTCCCAAAATGCTTGCTACAAAGCTTTTGATCTGTCACAATAAAATTTGAATTTGGGTCCCTCGTAAGATATGTATATCAGGTTTATGTTTTGTGAAAAATTAAAACCACAAGTACCCAAGTATTGAATCTGCTGGAATGGAAAATCCAATATGGAGAGTGGACAACAGGAATCAGGCTCAATTTCCCTATAGAAAAATCAGCCAAGAGCCAATATGTGAGGAAAAGTAATTCCTCAGGCTTTTTCTTCTGGCTAGGTAAGAGGCTAGTGCCTGTAGAAAGGAATACATATCATCATCTGTTATAGAAAAGCAATGAGATTTTTCATACCATGCACCAGAGGTAAGAGGTCAGCCATACCCAGCTGATTCACAAGTGCCAAAGCTTGACTGCATTCTGTTCAAAACAAAAACAGAAACCTGCACTGAAATATAGCATTTTAAAATGATGTAGATGTTAATAAACAGTAAAATGGTTCTTTCGATTGATATCTCTTAGCTGAAGTCCTCCATACATTTTGAGACCTAAATGTGATTCCCAACCACCTATAGTATGTTACGTATTAGTATCAAATACAGGAACATATTTTGGAAGAGAAGCTCCATATCTGCAGATAGATTTTTTCTCCTGCTTATTTTAACAGAACTGCAAGGAGCCACCAAGGCCAACAAATTTGCTGATTGCAGAATCTAAATTAAAACATTCCTATTAAAGACCAAGAGAGCCATTTTGGAGTAGCTGTTAAGGCCCAAGAATTACTTTTCCTTACATAGGCATGAAGTCAGCAGGGTAAGTTTGGGCCAGTCACTATTTCTCCACCCTATGTAGCTAGCAATGGCAAGCCATTTCCCCAAAAAAAGGTTGCCAAGAAAACTGCAATGACTTTTCAGAAGTCAACTCTCAGTAAGGCACACAAATAAATATAAATATCCTGAATAAAGGGGGGCATGGTAAATTTTTATCTAACTGGTTCCACACTTAAGCTGATATCTGTCCTCAAAGAGCTGGAAATCAGAAAAGCTATTACTGTCTGCATTTAAAAAAAAACTCCACTTAGGTAGCAACATTGATTGACAATCAATTTCACATGCTGTTGTGCAAATGGAATAGACAACAGGTGGAAAGCATAGGCAGTTAGCAAGACATCCCCAATAAAGGAGTGGCTCTGCAGGTGGTGACCACAAACCATTTCTCAGTTCCTATGCTTTCTGGCTGATGGTTTGGTCACTTTTGAATGCTGGCGGTGCTTTCACTCTAGTGGTAGCATGAGACGGAGTCTACAACCCACACAAGTGGCTCAGGTAGTGCAGCTCATCCAGGATGGCAGATCAATGCGAGCTGTGGCAAGAAGGTTTTCTGTGTCTGTCAGCATAGTGTCCAGAGCATGGAGGCGCTACCAGGAGACAGGCCAGTACATCAGGAGACAAATGTGCATGTGGCTGCTCAAACGGTCAGAAACAGACTCCATGAGAGTGGTATGAGGGCCTGATGTCCACAGGTGGGGGTTGTGCTTACAGCCCAACACCATGCAGGACACCACTTTTGGCATTTGCCAGAGAACACCAAGGGTGGCAAATTCGCCACTGGCATCCTGTGCTCTTCACAGATGAAAGCAGGTTCACACTGAGTACATGTGACAGACGTGACAGGGTCTGGAGACGCCATGGAGAACCTTTTGCTGCCTACAACATCCTCCAGCATGACTGATTTGGCAATGGGTCAGTAATGGTGTGGGGTAGCATTTCTTTAGGGGGCCGCACAGCCCTCCATGTGCTCGCCATAGGTAGCCTGACTGCCATTAGGTACCAAGATGAGATCCTCAGACCCCTTGTGCACCACAGACTGTCCAGGAGTTGGGGGGTGCTTTAGTCCAGGTGTGGGAGGAAATCCCTCAGGAGACCATCCGCCACATCAGGAGCATGCCCAGGCATTGTAGGGAGGTCATACAGGCACGTGGAGGCCACACACACTACTGAGCCTCATTTTGACTTGTTTTAAGGACATTACATCAAAGTTGGTTCAGCCTGTAGTGTTTTTTTCCACTTTAATTTTGAGTGTAACTCCAAATCCAGACCTTCATGGGTTGCTGAATTTTATTTCCATTGATAATTTTTGTGCGATTTTGTTGTCAGCACATTCAACTATGTAGTGAACAAAGTATTTAATAAGAATATTTCATTCATTCAGATCTAGGATGTCTTATTTTTGTGTTCCCTTTATTTTTTTGAGCAGTGTAAATTCAGCTGCAATCTCTGCATGGCTGTATCCAGTTCTAACCCTAGCATTACAAATTATTGCAAGGTTAACTTATCTGCAGAAGACAGGATACTTAACATCACTAATTATATGTGAAACTGAATATAAGTTTTGTTTCATTAATTTCTCAATTCAGGTGTGAAAGTTTATAAAGATGTCTAACCTTCACTTGTTGCAGTTCCATCTTTGATCTTCTGCTGCAAAGACAACAGTGCCTTGTGGATACACTCAAATATATCGTCTACTTTATTTTTTTCCATGTGGTTCCAGACCCTTTTTGCATCAACTATGAACAACAACAAAAAGGTTTTGTTTACATTTTGGGTAACAGCCGACATCCTAATCCCACCTCACTCCCCAGCATGGATTAGAATAAACACCTACTACATATAGCATAGACTTAAAAAGATGGCACGATATACAATATGTATTGTGTGCACAGAAAAGAAATTATTTCTCCTTCACGGAAAAGTACAATTTACCCAATAGTGAAGAACGGTGGAAAATTCTAAACAACGCAAGGTGCTTTTTCAAAGCATATATAAAATTATGGAATTTTTCCCTTCCCTGGGGAGGAAAGAGAAATGAAGAAAACATATATATATATTCATATTAAAGGAAACGTTTATAAAAATATATAAATAAATTCCATTTCAAAAGCAACGTCTCAAACGAGGCGCTTTCGTTTTACAGCAACCCTCCCTGGGTCCCGGTTCCCGCCCCTCGCTACCTTTCATTGTGTCGGCTTTTCCTGGAGCGGCCCAGGCCTCGACCGCAAACGCCGCCCGGGCCGGACTGTGTTCAGCCGAGCAAAACCTAACCCGGAGTCCACGTCACCAGCAGCCAAAGGACAAAAAGCCGGGAGGAACGGCAGCGTCCCTCCGCCCCGCGCTAAGTCCGTCGTCTGCACCAGCTGCCGGGAGAGTGCGCGAGAACAGCTGCTCTAAGACAAGAACCGGGCAAGGAAAACTGGACGGAGAGGTTTCACGACGCCACCCCTCTTTGTCGGAAATGACGAGCGCGTATCGGAAATCAGGGTGGGGTGGGGAAGGCGTTTAAGAGCTCCGCGTTGGGTTTTGCTAGTATCCGCTTTATTGCAGGTGAAAAGAGGCGGTTCAAAATAAATATTGGCTTCTTTTACAAACACTCCAGTAACTACAAAGCGAGGCCATACGTCAGCGTTGCACCAGACTTTAAATAGCGGGAGGAGGCTATTTGAAGGAACCCCGTAAAGCGACGCCGTTTGAGTAGGGACCGGGTCTACATCTTCAGACAAAACGCTTTAAAAGTCTTTAATGCTTTAAAGAAATGTTTTAGCATTTTAAATACGAGGGTCGTCCCCCCCCCCTTTGTTTAATATCACAGTGTAGCTCCTGTTGAATGTTGAACTAGCAAGTTTACTGTTTAGGAATCAAAGGAGATATAGTATGCAAAATATTTGGTGGCAGAAAAAAATATTGGGAAACCAAGTAGATCGGGAATTGCAAAACAAACACCTGCAAAAACCTGTATGGACAGCAAATGGAAGAAAAGAGATATAAGGCAGCTTAAGTCTCTGTTGTTGCCATCTAAAGTTTTCCCGAGTTGGCCTAGCCAAAAACTTACCCGTATATGAATTGCACAAGAGCTGCAGTAGATACAAATAACATCCCAATAATTGTAGCATAGGAAAATACAATTGCTGCTGATTAGATATTTCTGGAAGAAAAATCATCTGGTTCAGTTAGACACTGGAAATAACATGGAGGCTGATTGGAAAGAAAGTGTTTATTGATCAACGGAACCACACCCTGCAGTTCTGGGGCAGCTGACCAATTGGTTTGGTTTTACATGGGCTTTTATACTGTAGGAAGTTAGCACCCACCCCACTCCTAGAAAAATGAAATATCCTAGGAAATATTAAAAAGGCATAATATTTCCCCTAAAAAGAGTAGAAACTTAAGAAGCAGAAACTCAGCCCCGCCACCTTTGCTAATGGGCCATTTAGTCTGGCCTAGGCCTGCCTATTTTACATAACAAAGATTTCTAGGTAGAGCTATAGGAATTGCCCAAAGCCCTTTCATTACATCATGATCCAGCATGGCTCAACCAAGCCTGGGACTCAGGACAGCCTACAGAGTTGCCCCTGCATGGCCCCATGGGAGTCTGACAACCAATCAGAATACAAGCTCAAATTCAAATCCCAACAGAGGGTATAAAACCCAGACGCCCTCAGCATATCAGCCCTTCCTTCTTTTTCTTCACCTTGGAGCATGTGATCATCCTTCTTTGGATCTTCAGGCCATGTGGTCCTGCTGTCCACCATTAAACCATCTTTCCAAACAGCCTCCCATGTTTCCAGTGTCTTTCTTCCCCACTTGGAACTGAACTCAGAAGGATGTTTCTTCCAACAATTCATTTTTTTATAGCATTTTGTAATTTTCCACTTTTCTCAATGAATGTGGTTAAGGTAATGTCCCATCACCTGGAGGAGAAGGCATTTTGTGAATAGGCTGGGCCAGGATTTCTTAATGGGCATTTGCTGTAGGCTATTAAGAAGAACTGGGGGCTGCTGAGCATGTTTCTACCTTTCTCCCTTTGGGGAAATATTATATTCTGCTTCTTTCAATATTCACTAAAATATTTCATTCTTCTTGGGGGGGGGGGGGGGGGAGCTTCCCAAAATATGTCATTGAAAGTTCAGCATGAGCCAATCTGTGCCGTTAAAAAGCATCTGCAAAGAACATGAGGTCGGAAGCCTTTAGCAACTGATTTTGCTTTATGCTGCAAGAAAAAGGAAGAAAGCATCACACTCACTGTGCAATGGGGATGTGTGATGTGGTCAGAGGACAAGGAGAGACAAGAATGGCTGTGTTCCTACTGTCCTTGGTTTCCCTCTTTTCCTCAAAACGAAACTGGCTTCACATAATGTATATGATTACATGTACATGTACAAGACTGAAGTTCACAACGGTACAATGAGCTGCACTGGATCAAGCAAAACTCATAACTCTCGCACAATTGCTGACCATGTATGAAACCTGCAACAAAAATTGAAGGCAATAGCAGCTTCCTCCTGAACTCCAGCTACTGATATCAGGTGGTAAATGCACTGCCTTGGGATATCTTTTATCATTTTTCCAAGAATCTACCAAGGTAGTAAAATATATACAATTGCTAAGAGTAATTATTTTCTTTTATAGTTTCTGAATTACAGTCCTTCAATTGCCCTCCCTCTTTTTATTTCTGGACTTTCAAAATTAAACATTATTTACTCCAGTGTCACCAGAAAAACTCCTCTCAGCCACCCTATAGGATATAGCTGAATGAATTCAGCTCCTTTACCCCAGCTGATGGGGAAGAGGATAGTGACATTATAAAACCTAGCCCTTACTGTAGAATGAAATGGCTCACAGGGCACCGGGCAGGTTATACACTGTGAAAAATAAATGAAATTCCTCCACCACCCCGAAGTAGAGGTCATATAAAAACTGCTCACACAGGAGCACAACATAATGTAACATCTCTCACTGAGAGGTTAAGGGAAGATGGGTGTTATCTATAGTTTTGATAGAGGCAGGATTGGAGTTAAGCAGGTAGGGGCTTTGCATTTCTTAAACTAGTAACCCCTAAGCTATTATATTTGGGCACTGCCAGATCCAACAATATGAAATTATAACAGGTTTAATAATCATCTAAACTGGTTATTCTGGACAGCATAAAAAAAAAACTAGAAAAAACATTAAAATAGATAAAAACATTAAACCAAATAGACAGCCCAGACTGAAATAATCTTACAGACAACAAAAATCAAACAAAGCAAAGCCCTGGACAAAGATTAACAGGCCTGGGACCAGAGCCAAGTTTTCAGAGCTTTCTGGAGATGGTGCAGTTTTGATCTTTGGGTGGATAAGGTCTGGCGCACAGAAGGCGCATTTGCTTGGTTCCACAAGATGACTATATTTAATGGTGGGGACTTGGAGCACACCCATTCTGCCGCAGTGCACTGGGTGCACAGAAATGACTGGAAGAAGGTGGTCCCTCAGGTATTCAGTTTCTCTGCCAGGCAGGGCTTTATAGGTAACAACCAGCACTTCGAATTGCACTCAGAAGCTGACCAGCAGCCAGTGCAGCTTGCATAGTAGTGGTGATACATGGAGACTCTGAAAGGGGCCCATGCATTTTGAATGAGCTTAGCTTCCAGCAGTGCTGGGATTCAAATATTTTTACCACCGGTTCAATGGACATGGCTTGATGGGCGTGCTTTGCATGCATGCACACACTTTGCGTACGCATGTGCACCAAATACGCACTTTGCGCAGGCGCAGAGGTATTTACGCAGGCGCAGAGGTGTTCTAACTCACCTCCTGTAAGCCTGCCTGCATAATCCTGGTTGCTTCAGTAGCTGCCTCTTCCGTGCTGCGCAAAGCTGCTGTGCTTCAAATTCAAAGGGTAAAAGTGAATATGGGAGCCCAGGAACTGGTCGAATACCACCACTGGCTTCCAGGCAGACTTCAAAGGCAGCCCATGAACTACACATGCAATAATGTAATAATCAGATGGTCACCAGTGATGGTATTCTACCAATTTGGCCCAGTTCAGGCGAACCAGTAGCAAAAAACGTTACCGTTCGGCCGAACTGGTAGTAAAAAAACAGCTACTTGTTTGGCCAAACCAGTATTGTTTCCTCCAGATGATCAGCTATTCCAATGATCAGCTGGTCCAGGAGGCTTCCCTGAGGCCCAGGAGGCAAAAAAAAATGGAGTGTGGGGGAGGGGGTGCTGCAAAAAAACCACACACCCCCAAAGCCACACCTACCCAGTCACATGGCTACACCCACCTAACCACGCCCACCTAGCCACACCCACAGAACCGGTAGTATAAATATTTGCATCCTACCCCTGATGGTCACCAAGGCATGAGTGATCATCTGATGGGTCTCCCAGTATTATATGTTATTGTCCAGTCGCTAAGTCCTGTCAACTCTTCACAACCTCAATATTATATAAACGCAAGCTAAGATTCTGATTTTTTGTTTGACTTCTATTGGTATTTCAGAATTTTTTCCACAGCCAGCACAGGCCAAATTAGCATATTCCATAAGAAGAAAAAAGATACATCTTGTTATATAAGGTACTTCTTGTAAAAGAAACATTTTGCATGGGTTCCTTCATAAGGATTCAACATACAATATTACAATCAGTCACATGGTAATCAGCAGTAAAATCAGTCACATGCTTCATTACCACCATGATTAAGACCAAAATTGCAGGCTCAATTATGGTCATAAGTTAAAGACTACATTGTATCTAATTTTTCCCTTAATTATTCAGTTTTTCTTATCAAACTGTTGCTCTTTCATGATATATAACAATCCAATTTACTTAAAAGTAAAATCATTTATATTCAGTGTATGACTTACTCGTTTCAAATTACACTAAAGAAATCTTCGAAGAAAATAAGGAGAGCTTTCTGATTGGAAAAAAAAAATTACATTAGAATTAGAGAAAGGGTTGTGAGAGATAGATTTTGTAAGGGAATGTAATGGGTCAAAGAAATAAAAGGAAATGAGGCAATTTATACTGCAACTTTGTGTGGGTGGGTGGGTGGGTGGATATGAGAGTGAGCTACTTATTTAATATTTCCCCGTTGATATTTGGAAATATTCTGTCACGTCTTTAAACTTAATACAGAAGTACACTAGTCTAAAAGAGTATTGTCATAATGGAGCTTGTTCGGTTTTGACAGTTGTGCTAGGAGCCCAGTCCCTGTCCTTTGCCATCCACAGTTCTGCTGCGGTTTAGTCAGTAAATCACGATTAAGCAAACCATGGCCGAGCCATCTTCGTCAGCGTTATTTGCTTAGCCACGTTCCCGGGAGAAGGAGGCGAGCGCGGCCCTCGCCGGAGCGCCCAACTCTCTCCGGCTTTCGCCGCCGATCGCCCTGCGCCCTCCTCCCTTTCCCTTCTTCACCTCCGCCCTCGGAGGGGAGCGAAAGCGCAACTCCACCTCTCTTCTCCGAGGAACTCCAGGAGGGCAAGGAGGACAGGGCTGCGCCATCACGCCCGGCGGGACAACATGAAGCCCGACGGAAAGGTGGTGCTGCTGGGCGACATGAACGTGGGCAAGACGTCGCTGCTCCACCGCTACATGGAGCGGCGCTTCCAGGACACCGTTAGCACCGTCGGGGGCGCCTTCTACCTCAAGCAGTGGGGCCCTCACAACATCTCGGTTTGGGACACCGCAGGTGAAGGGGGACGGGGGCGACCTCGGCGAGTTTGGTTTCTTTTCCCCAGTGGCGCGGCGGGGGTGGGGGTCGTTGGCTCTCCCTGTTGCGCCTCAGAGGCCGAGCAGACCGCGCGGGACAAGAGGCGACAAGCCGCGCTCGGCTAACTTTGCCAACTTCGGGAAAGCGGCCCGACACGCCCACCGTTGCTTGCTGGCCGCGCAGACTACCTCCGCCGCGGGAAGTGAGCGTTTGCGGTCGGAGCAGCCCTTCCGCGGAGTTCGCGGGAGCTGAGCGGCCGACTCGGTTTGGCTTTCCGGCACCGCGCCCGCTCAGTTCCCTGGAATAGTTTTCACTCCAGCGCCTGGCTCCTGTTTTACTTTAGGCCCCACATTTCAGCTTTTGTTTTGGAACATCCAAGAGGCTTTTTGGGGCTTCTGGTGTAACTTAAGCAGCTTTTCCAAAAGAAGCTTTGACCCTATTGCGTCAGTAACAGTACTGTATGCAGGATTTTTAGCATTTATTATGGAATGGCAGCAGCAGCCGCTTTGGGGGATTATATATTTGGGTGGCCTGGTGGGCCAAGTTTCCTTATTTTGCTGGACAGTATAAGGGGGAGAGATTTGCATTAACTGAAGTCTGTCCAGCTCAAAGGTGAATTCATGGTCTGCTTGCTGTGAGTTTTCAGTTGTTGCAAAAGTAGAACAAAACTGTCAGGAAAATTAGGAAATTCATACTTAGACTATTGTTATTGTCAAGCCAGTATTCTTTACTTAACAGAAAACAGAGTTGGAAGTAACCTTGGAGGTCTTCTTGTCCAGGGGTCACCAACCTTTTGAACCTCAGGGACCACCAAACTCATAATTTTAAATCCTGTGGACCACTAATTTTGACTGACAGTGGCTTGCTGACATTTTCCCAAGGTCTTTGAAGAAAGCAGTAGAGACTGGGGAAATCCTCCAAAAAGTCTGCAGGAAAATTCCCCACCCTGTTTTCCTACCCCTCAATCATTCTTTATTTGGGATCGCAGGATACCGTCTCCAGCTCCGTTCTCAGGGGGAGAGAGAGAGAAAGAGACTTTTGGCTTCATGCAAGGAAAACAGCAGAAGCAGCAGAAGTCTTTCTTTCTCTCCCCCAAGCACCGCTAGAAATGAGTCTTCGTGAGACTTGTTGCACCAGTGCAGCCTCTTGGAGCAGGATGCCTTGCAGGGTCCCGAAGAGTCATTTCTGGTGGTGTTTGGGAGAGAAGAAAGAAAGATTTTTGCTGCTTTCCATGCATGCAACCAAAACAGAAGAAGAAAGAAGTGGAAAGAAGCAGCCCAGTGGCCAGTTCCCCTCCTCCGCCCTTTCCCCTCTCCCCTCACTACCTTGTTCACAATGCAAGTGATGCAAGCCGTATGTTCCGTGTGTTCCCGTGCAGCCTAGATTAATTGCTTTGGGGGTGACATTTCTCTGCAGACCACCAACATTTTCTCACGGACCACCAGTGATCCCCGGCCCACTTGCTGGCGACCACGGTTCTAGTCCAATCCTTTGCCACAAGCAGGAGATCCTATACCATTCTGGACAAGTGGCTGTCCATTCTCTTCTTAAAAAGCTCCAGTGAGGGAGCACCCACAGCTTCTGAAGGCAAGCCCCTCCACTCACTGATCAATTGTTCTCACTGTCAAGAAATTTCTCCTTAATCCCAAGTTGCCTTTCTCTTTGATTAGTTTCCATCGGTTGGTTGTCTTGTCTTCTGGTGCTTTGAAAAATAGGTTGATCCCTTCTTCTTTGTGGCAGCCCCTGAGATATTGGAAGACTGCTATCATGTCTCCCCTGGTCCTTCTCTTCACTTAGACTAGCCATGTCCAGTTCCTGCAACCATTCTTCATATGCTTTAGCTTCCGGTCCTCTTAATCATCTTTCAGTTATTGTGATCTTTCTTCCAGGTCGCGAGCAGTTCCACGGCCTTGGGTCCATGTACTGCCGAGGAGCAGCCGCTGTTATTCTCACGTATGATGTAACTAACTTACAGAGCATGGTGGAACTTGAGGATAGGTTCTTGGCATTGACAGATTCCGCCAGCCCAGATTGTCTCTTTGTTATTGCCGGGAACAAAGTTGACCTGACAGATGCGTCTACCTCTTTGCCAGAACCAGAAGACAAGCATCGGTTTGAGAAGCCTCCAAACAGTTCCATTTCTACAAAGGTGAAAAAACAAGTCCATATGAATGATGCTGCAGCATTTTATAGGAAGATCCTCAAGTATAAAATGTTGAATGAGGTAAATGCCCCAGCAGCGGAAAAAATGTGTTTTGAAACTAGTGCGAAAACTGGTTATAATGTGGACCATCTTTTTGAAACTGTATTTGAAATGATAGTACCAGTAATTTTGCAACAAAAGGCTGAAGGCTTGCCACAAACGGTAGACTTAAATAACTGCAAGACTGCTAAAAACACACACTCTGGATGCTGCAGATGACTCCGAATGCATTTTTACATTAATTGAAGGACAGTGCAGGAAAGTGTTACAACAATGCAAAAGTGTTACAATACTGCAAAAAAAAAAAGTTGAATGAAGACAACAATGCAAAAATAACAAGGCCAACCAGACAAACTGCATCTTCTATAAGAATGCATTTTTGTAACAATTAAATGAGAAAAAAATGTAATGAGAAAAAAAACTTCAGTGAAGGGGAACTTGGAGTCAATCATTGAAAGCTTTTAAAGCCCATTAATTGTGGGGTTTTTTTGCCCCCTTCACATTAAATTTATGATACTGTATGCTGTTTTACACACGAATCTCTAGTATCTATTTTGGCAAGTATCTTTTGATATGTGGCATTCTTTATGTCGTAAGGAGGAATTTATAAATGAAGAAATAGATTTCAGGAAGGAGGTAGATGTTGATCAGTCATTTCACATCATACTTTTTCAGCAAAATAAAGAATTGTAGCAAACTAATTCTTCCCTTTTCTCTCGCCTCATTAATTTCATGGTTGTGGCCACCAGGAGCCAGAGCAAAAAGGAAAATCAGATCAATAGAATTGTATTAGTGTCACTATAAATGTTGTTAGGCAAAAAAATTATTCCCATTTCCCCTATAACAAAATGCACCTAAAGAAATTCACGAAGTAGTCTGCAGTTTTAGGTTAATCTTAACTCAGTGGTGAATTGGTGGTATTGGGACTAATAATGTTTATAATTGTACTATTAGCTTCAATTTTTGAAGTTCCAGGGAGTTGATGAATTATGTATGTTTTAAATCAGTAAATGTTTTTAGTTGTTAGTAGATCAGATTCTGGTGAAATTATTTAAGCATATTTTTGTTAAATTATGAATAATTAATAGAGTCAAAAAAGTGGATATGAGTAGATGGCTAGGGGGAACATTAATTTGTAAAAGTTTATGAGGACAGGGAAGAAAATGGATATGTTTTGTTGTGGAGATGATTGCAGTATGTATAACAGGAAACTTGATAAGACAGTCAAAATTATTAAGTAATTTGGTTGTAATCAGTGATAACAATGTATCAGTGATAGTGATTTTTCAGGGCTGTTGTTGGGGAAATATATAAAAATATCAACTTGAATTTTTTCTTGTTAGGAAAATTAGTTTTTCTAAAATTCTGCAATTATTTCCACATTTTCTGAACATGAAAGAAATTACTACGAGGCTGATCAAACAATCTATTGGCACAAAGCAGCTCTTTTACCTCTGCCTGTTTTTAGACTATTTATATTAGGAATAAACTTTACTAAGTACTTTTGTGACAATAATTGATAACACTAGAGATTATGGGCTAAATTATGCCTGGATTATATATATTGTGTGTGAAACCCAAATATGGTACATTATTATGGAATTTATTTTAGGACTGAGTCCTGGCAACGAATAACAGGGCTGAGCTCATACTTGGGGGAAATAGATTTTAATAGTAAAGAGAATTGAGAGGAAACTGAAGGACTCGGACTGGAAATCCATAAAAATTCACTGGGCTTCTAAATCCACATAGTGCTCATCTAATTCTGAAACCATTTCAGTCTTTATCAGATATGTAAGAAATAGACTAACAGAATTTCCTTAAATGTGAAGAATTTAAATTGATTTGAATGTGTGATTACATGCTCTGCTTGACGCTTTAGATATATATATGCACATTTCCAATGCAGCCTCTTTGCTGCTACAGTTTGCTAGATGGTGAAGTTGGGAATGTCAGGGCCAACTCCCTGGATGATTCTCTTGTCCTGCCCTCTTCAAGTCACTTCATATATGGGTTGTTTCTTCACGTGCGATTCTTTTTCTCTTGTTAGGATTTAGGTCATGTCTTAGAAAACCCGTACTAGTTCAATAAGGAAAAGTTGATACTTTTATTTATCGTACAAAATAAAACACTCTGATCCTAAGTACAAAGGAGAAACACATGAAAGGACATTTGAGCATTTCTTTTTCAAGATTTGGCTTGGGAAGGAAACACTCCAGAAAACAGTGGGAAGTCCCAAGTGCCCAATTACAGGTTAGTCTGGGCAGCCGCCCTACTATGCCTGCCACCAAAAGAAGGTCATTGCCACTTGCAGCGTTGAGGTTCTGTAACTCTTGTCTCCTTTTCATCTGCTTGTCCGTACTGGTGAAGGAGTGGGGATAGAAACTGATTTACTCAGCAATTTTATGCATGTTTACTTGGAAGCCAGTCGGGCTTCATTTGTACAGTTAAGTATGCACATAATCACAGCTTTGGTATTACACTGCTATGAGAAAAGTGGGTTTCTCACTTTCCCAGGCACAGTCCTAATTCTTTCTGGGCAGAGATGCCTTTTCTGTCACTCACTTCCCTCCCAAGAATGTGATACTAATTGAGTCTCTCTTATCATCCTTATATTGGGAAGAATGACAAATGCCACATTCCTAAGTATGGACACTCACAAAGCTTACTAAATGGTACTCTCTAGTGGGGTGTTTCTTGACTGCAGCTGTAATTGCAATTGGAAAAGCTTCCTTTTTTGCTATTCCTGAAATTATGAGATTATTATCACATAGATTCTGCGATACCCAGCAATGGCTGAACAGAATTAGGCGAAGTACCTTCAAATATGGATTTCAAACCACCATCTCTCATCAATCCAGCTAGAATATAAACATCTAAATTGCCATAGATAGTTTATCTCCAAGCCACACTAAAGTAATATTAAGATACGTGAATTCTGGTCTAATGGGCTATGTCTATCCATTGAGGGTATTGCATAGAATTATATAAGATTGCAGTCAAAAAAAGTCAAGTGACACATAAATAAGCTTATTGTTCATTCTCTGCAGACTTTTGAAATAATTACGCGCTAATAGCAACATGGTGTTTAATAAAGTAACAATGTATAAAAATAAAGGCCTTGAAATATAACAAAAGTATATTCCATGCATGTTTTCTTTCCTTTAGTCACAAAAATTGTAGTTCTGTTGGATTTGTAACCAAAGACCTCAGCTAAAACAGGACTCCCTTAGAGCAAGCATACAGCTTATTTTTTGACAGTTTTGAGGATGTTGAAATGGCATTTGCATTTTAACAATACGAGTTTGCTAAATGCAGTTTAAAATCCTAAATTCTAACATAGTTTGCATTTGTTTTTAAATGTTTAATACTTAATGATTAAGAGTTAGTAGTGTTCAGTAATACATTGAAAAAACAGATAAATATCATTTGAAAGTAAATCAGACTTAAATGACAGCAACTGTATTTAATAATGAAACTATGTCTATTGTTCTATTCCCATAACTGACTGTATTATTTGCAGCATATAAAAGCAAACTCACAAATACATGAACAAAGGCTGAACAATTACTTGGTTATATGTACTTGCAGTGTTTGTTCTTCCAGATAACAATGGTGTTCAAATGATGAGGTAATAAGTTAAATAAGCACCAACAAAATCTAATCCATGCCACTTTAAAGTGACTTATTTCTTTTTTTGGGGGGAGGGGGTTATTTTACAAATTTTTCATACACACTTGGCATCTGCTTATATGTGTTCGGATGAGTCCAGCCTTGAGAGTATCTGAAGAAGGTGAGTGTTGAAAATGATGGTCAATGGTGGTAAGCCAAAAACTGTATTTGTTTGCAAAGTAGTGGCAGGTCCCCCGAGCACCATTGCATTCAATGAATGGTGTGGCTCTGAAGTCTTCCAGGCAGCTACCTGGAGAAACCAGTGACTGCCCTCCTCCTTCGGCACCAGCTGCAGTGTGCTAGAAGAAACCACATAACAATTCAAATATAATACAAAAGTACATTACAGGTAGTGGTGATCATAAAAATGAGAGGAGACTTTTCATATGCTAGCTTTCATCTCAGGGAAGGGGGGATATAAATCAAGTGAGGGGTAACAAAGGTTCCATATGCCCAGTATTGTCCCCTAATAACTTTCTTTTAACAGCTATCATTTCAGAGTTAAAGCACAGATAAGCTATTGTCGTAATGGCCATTATGATTTCACTTTTTTATCTGACTGGTATTGAATTTTGCAACAAAAAGCTTAATGCACTAGATTTATGAACTGAAAATTAATGTGGGAAAATGCAGGAGTCCTTTTCAGAGATGTTCTATATACACGACCCATTCTAGGCAGGTTCAATTGTGGTCTCAAGTTGAGAACTACCTGTAAACCATGACAAAGAAAACTAAATCCAGCCTATATCTATGAAAGGATGAATTGATACAAAGTACTGAGGTGGTGGATTCCCAGCAGGGAGATGTTGTATTCCAGGGAAGTAAGAGGCAACCCATTTTAGATGCTGCAATATGTGAAAGAAAGAGGGTGAAGACAGGGTCTCCCTAATAGTTCACAGAGTATATTGTATTTGCAGACAGCAGAGTCCTCAGTCTGGCAACATTTCGTCTATAGCGGTGAAACAATAAAGAAGTCAGTTTGGAAGAACCGTCAAGTGTCATTCTTGGTTTTGGGCCTGACAAATGGCTACAGGCCTGCCTATCACAGCCATAAATATCCACCTATTGGGGGTTGTTTCTACTGTTAGTTTCTTTTTGTTCTTACTTTTAAACACATGTTTGCCAGCCAGATTTTCAATTTTGTGAGAGAGGCAGCCACCATAAGTAAATAACCTTACATAAAACAGGAGAGAAATATAATTTTAAAAGCATTCTGAACTTGTACCCCAATCATGAAAAAAAGCACATACCATAAGGAAAGAGTAACCAATCCATAAACTGCGCCATCCTTCAGGACAGTGAGGAATAGTAACATCTTGGCTGTGAATAGCAATGGCAAGAGCAGGAGCTTCACAGACAGAACAGCGACTGATATAAGGCCTGATTTCTTCTTCTGCCACAGGCATCATTGGAAGAGGGGCTGTGGTTGAGAGCCAGTAGGATTTATCATTACGACTTGCATAGTAGCAGACATCTCCCGGATTGCAGTAAAGGAAAGGCATAGTGCTGAATCGAGCCAAACATGACCCAGCCAGCCCTATAAGAATAAACACAGAGAATAATCACCAATGTGTCTCCAGAACTTTGTTCTGGAAGTTTAAAACAATAAAGGTTGTCTTCCAAACTAGTAGCCACTTCTGAAGTTCTGAAATATTTCAGAAACTTCCCTGTGAAAGATTGGAAATGGGAAATGTTAATATATTTGAGAACTCAGCGAACATCCAGAATGCTTCCACCCCGAGGATATTTTTTTATAATTTCTCTAATGTTAATTTTCAGTCAGGTCCTACACTTAGGCAGGGAAAACCAAGCACATAGGTACAGAATAGGTGGTACCCGGCTCAACAGGTGAAAAAGATCTAAAGTTCTAGTGAATCACCACTTAAGTATGAGCAGGCAATGTGCTGCAATTGCCAAAAATGCCAATGCAGTCCTGGGCTATATGAATAGAACATGGGTGGGATGCAAATATTTTTATTACTGGTTCTGTGGGCGTGGCTAGGTGGGCGTGGGCATGTGACAGGGTGGGCATGACTTCTTTTGGGGGGGGCAGCAACCCTCCCCCTGCACTCCATTTTTTTTTGGCCTCCTGGGCCTCAGGGAAGTCTCCTGGGGAGGCTATTTTTGCTCACAGAAGACTTCCTTGAGGCCAAGGAAGGCAAAAAGCGTGGGACAGCATTTTTTGGCCTCCTGGGCCTGGGCGAAGCAGTAAGAAAGTGAGGGGGATCTTGGCACAGCTGATCATTGGAACAGCTGATCATTGGAGGAAAAAAAATACTGGTTTAGTTGAACAGGTAGCTGTGTTTTTTACTATCGGTTTGGCCGAATGGCAGCATTTTTTACTATTGGTTTGCTTTAACTGGCCCGAACCAGTAGAATCCCACCACTGGAACAGAGGAATAGTATCAAGATCCTGAGTAGCGATAATGCCGCTTTATACTGGACTAGTGAGGCTACACATAGAATAGGGCATGCAGTTCTGATCACCATGATACATAAAAAATGCTGAGACATTAGAAAGCATGGAGAGAAGAGCAACAAAGATGATAAAGGGTCTGGAGGCTAAATCATATGATGAACAGTTGAAAGAACTAGGTATGTCTAGCCGATCAAAGAGAAGAATCAAAGGAGCAGAGGGTTGGACTACAAGACCTCCAGGGTCCCTTCCAGCCCTATGATTTTATGTACTATGTTGAAGTCCCCTGCAGGAGAAAATGGCAGGAGGCAGAGAAGGAGCAGGAAATGGTGGAAGTGGCAGGACTTCTGGCACCTCTGGGGAAGGAAGTTTAAACTAATGTGAGGTAGGGATTGAAGTGTTGAACTAGATAATCTAGCTGCAAGTCCACCCTCAAACCATGGAAAGTCGCTAGGGTCATTTTATCTCAGAGCTCAGCCTATTTCACAGAATTGTTTTGGTCATAAAATGAAGTAGACTGTTATAGAAAGAGCATTCGGCTCTTTAAGAAAAAAGATATAAATCTAAATAATAACAGTAACAATACGTAGTAATAGTGATAGCACTGATAATAGTAGTCAGTCTTTGCATGGATTTTTCTGGTACGTTATTTTGAGACAGTCAGCAGCAGTATCCTCCAGAAGAACTGATTGTAAGTCTGAAACAAACCGTGTAGATGTCTTCAATTACTTGCATGAGTTTTTGCCTCATCTTCAAGAACTATCTTATGAATGGACACTATCACCTTTGAAGCCTTTTACATTAGTTTCTTTTACTCTGTCTGCCTGTCAGATGTTTAATATTGGCCCAGCCATGGTGGAAATATTCTTCTTTCAGGATAATAATCCATGCAACTGCTGAAATGGTCTGTGATGAGTTTATGCAATTGTAAAACCCCGGAACCAATCTAGTACACAATTTCTATTTTGTTATCTGACAGTAAATAGCTATTCTGTTTGTTTGTTTGTTTATTGAAAAGCTTTTTTTAAATTTTTTGCAATGTATTCTTTACTAAGCAGGTAAAATGCATACCGAGATCCTGGTTATGTGCTTTGTCTTGTCCTTCAAAGTACAATAAACTGTAGCCGCTCCAAAGTTGCCTCATGCCCTCTGGACACATTGGCTCTTGAATAGATTGGCTGTGCTTCACAAGAAGATAACCTATGTTAACACTGCGGCCTGGCATACCAGGAATGCCAGGAGTACCAGGAGCACCTGCTGCACCTAGAGAAATATAAAGGCAGGATGTTGCTTTTAAAGGCATTGCCACCCACGGTCTAAGAAAATCATGGTGACTTTATTTACCGCTGAAAAATCTAGTACAAGTAGAAAAGAATCCACAGCTGTTGAACTGAATTTATTTGTGCTGATTCTGGCATTATGTAGCAGTTACCAAAAAGTACTTCTCCAATGCCAAAACATAACGGTGCAGTCTGAAGATAACAAGATCTCTTTTTTCTCTCCAACCCCTTTGGAGTCCTCAGAGCCTGAAGTCACACAGCTCCCGTTTGTACAAGGAAGCTAGCCCTTTCCCTAGAAGATCCCTCCCACCCAATGGGACTTTTGTGGCATTCCTAGAAGTACTAAAAGGCTCACCTTGCGCATTGTACTTTGTAGCATTCCAACATCTGTTTCATGTATTTTGTTCAAATAATATATTTAAATGATCAGATCATGCAACAAGGTGTTAATTAAGCACTAAGATTGGTAACCGAAGCCATGGACACTACACAGTCACATCTCTATACTACTCTCCAAAGGATAAAGGAAATGTCCTTAAAAACAGCAAATATAGTTGTGGAGGGGAAAAGATGTACTTTTTGATTGGTTGTTGGAAGGAAATGCAGACTGACACTACTCTTGCGCACTGGTTGTACTTATAAATACATACTCCTGAATATCTGGAAATGCTGAAACTCTTCTATGGGATGAACTGTCCTCTTCATTTCTGCAACCCTTAGATATTATTTGCATACCATGCTTAAAAGTTAAAAGTTCCAATAAAGAGTTGAGTTAGATACCAAGTTGCTATATAGAAGT